TGTGGCTGTCTGGAGGGGTGGGATAGGGAGGGTGGGAGGGAGGGAGACAAAGAGGGAAGAGATATGGGAACATATGTATATGTATAACTGACTCACTCTGTTATAAAGCAGAAACTAACACACCATTGTAAAGCAATTATACCCCAAAAAAAAAGTTAAAAAAAAAAAAAAAAAAAAAAAAAGGTATTCTGTTGCTTTTGGGTGGAATGCTCTGTATGTATCTTTAAGTCCATCTGGTCTAATGTGTTTAAGGCCAATGTTTGCTTGTTGATTTTCTGTCTGGATGATCTATCCATTGATGTAAGTGGGGTATTAAAGTTCCCTACTATTACTGTATTGCTGTTTATTCTCCTTTTAAGTCTGTTACTATTTGCTTCGTATATTTAGGTTGCTTGTATTTGGGTGTGTAAATATTTACACGTTATATTCTCTTGCTGGATTACCCTTTTTCCTATAAGGTCTTATACATCTCTTATTGGGTTTATTCCTAGTACCTTAAGAATTGTGTGTTAGTATAAACTGGATATTTTAAGAATTATGTTTTCTAGTAGTTTGTTAACTATCGTGATTTTCTTACTAATCTCTTAATTTTCATTTCTTGTTGCATTGGCTAGTATCTCCAGTACGACAATGAAAGACAAGGTGACAGTGGGATCCTTACCTTGTTCTATTTTAAAGGAACTTCTTTAAATATTTCATCATTAAGTATAACGTTTGCATAAGATTTTATAAAGTAACATTTATTAGATTAAGGAAGTTTTTGATTTCTACTTACCTAAGACTTATTTATTTTTTAAATAAAAATTATGAATGGGGGGGTTTTAATTTTTTAACAGTGGTCTTTCTGACTACTGAGGTGATTATATGGTGTTCTTCCTTTAATCTGTTAAAGTAGTTTATTCAGGAGAGGCTAGGCCATGTTGTGAAAACTTACAAGCCCTGAAATCTCAGCAGCTTATTTTATTAATAAGTGCAAATTCATTTTTCATTCATGTAAAGCCCAGCGTGGAACAGTGGGAATAGTCCCTGACTGGGCTCCCTCCAGTTAGGGCTCTGCCATCTCAACACCTGGAATCTAAGTATGCCATGGTGGGGAAAGTACACATGGAGGTGGCACACCCGTTCTCAGTTCCCCAGGAAGGAAAGGCGTACCAGATGGGAATGCCCAAATAAGGGTCTAAGAAAAGGGATCAAGTACTGTCATCACTCCATCCTTGCATTTGAGGATGTGCCCAGTGGGGAGTCTTGAGTTTTATGTTATCACTGGTTTGGGGTTGCTAAGATGATAATTTTTGCATCAGTAATTTTTGTCTATAATTTTCTTTCTTGTCCTTGTCTGGATTTGGTGTCAAGGTTGTATTCCACTCATAAAACAAGTTGAGAAGTGTTTCCCTTCTTCTGTTCTCAGGGGCATTCGTCTAAGACTGAAGCTACCTGTTTAGCATAAATTAAGCCTGTCTGGACCTGATGTTTGTGAGTGGATTTCAAATCCAACTTAATTTCTTTAATGTTAAGGACCTCTTCTTTGTACTACTTATTATGGTTGTAGTATTTCACTTGTATCATTTTTCAATTAAGAGGATTCAGTGAGGTAAAGCTGCCTGCAAAGTGCTTGGGACTCAATATATGCTAAGTAATGATGGTGGTGACAGCTCACCAGATACTGTTCCAGGTCTAACTAACTTGCTGAGCCTTCACAGACTGTATAAGGTAGAGCTGTCATTACCCCCATTCCAGATGGAGAAACTGGGGAACAGAGAAGGGACCACAGAGATGGGGACAAAAGAACCCCCCCCCCCAACACCCCCTGCAAGGCACCCAGCCCACGAGGAGGTCACAGAAAGGAGACAGCTCAGTTGTCACTTTGACACACGCGGCATGTGGTACACAGGTGGTGGCCGCGGCTTTCATCTGTGTTTATTTTCCTTTCATATAAAAGTTACAGGTTTGAAATGTCTGCAGGAAGATGCCACCATCAGCCAGGTTAGTCGGGGATATATTACAATGTAACACTGGGGAGGCGCGGGGCCGTGGGAGGGAGGCGCTGCTCAGAATCGGGGTTTAATTCAGCCCTGGCGCGTGCCTGCCCTTGCCCTGATCCACCCACACCTGCAGGTGAGAACTGCCTCTGCAGGGAACGAATCCTCCCGAGGGTGTCTGTTGTAAAGACTGACTCGTACAGCTGATCTGGCCCCTGAGACAGACAAACCACAGCCAGGCTGGCAACTCCCAGAGCCAGAATGTGTCTCCATGAGGTCAAGGTAGGGAAGCCTGTCAGCCAATAAGTTAAAACACACATTGCACCTGCTGTCCTCATGCAGGGTCACCTGGCCACGCCGGCCCCTTGTCCACCTGCACTGCCTGCCCAGTGCCTCGGCTCAGAGCCAGGGCTCCCGGCAAGGAGGGGAGGTGTGGGTGCAGGGTCTGTTCTGAGTTGAGGGGCGGTGAAGCCCCCGAGCCCCGCCCGGCTCGCTGAGCCTGAAACGTGGTGTCGACAGTTGCCCGCCTATGGAGGGAGGCCCCGGGAACCGCAGTCCACACAGCCCATGGGCCCTGGGCACACAGCGGCTGCACAAAGCAGCAGCAGAGCAGGGCCAGGCCAGGAGGAAGGAGGGAAAGACTGAAATGAGAGGACTTAAAAAAGCGGGAACAAACTAAAACCCAACCCCACACACAATATTGTTCATCACCAGCGACTCTATACACACACTCTTTAAATAATAAAGTGACGCGTTCCGCCCGCTGCCGCAGGATCGCTGCCTGAGGGGTCGTAACTGACATTTCACAGATTCCTCCCCTCTGTGCACAGGACAAACAGCTTCATGATAAAAGCTGTTCAAAGACCCATGAAGGACTCAAAGTGACGTGGCTGTTTCTTTCTTTCTTTAAACAGTTAACAGATGTTGCTTTCTACTTTTGTTCTGTTTAAACTGGGCTAAGCCCGGGTTGAGCCTGATGTTCGCCTGCCCAAGTCCCAAACCCAGAAGCAGTGAGCTCTCAATTACGTAAAACGAACAAAACAGGAGGCGGGCGGCCTGTGGGCAGCCGTCGGATTCTGATGGCAGCCTGCCCGCAGGCCCACGTCGTCGGGCTGGCACGGAGGCCAGGGGGCGTGGAGCGCCCCTGCAGACCTCCCCTCAGCTCGTCCTCCTCAGCAGCGGGGCTGGCTCTGGAGGGCGAGGCTGGAAAGAGCACCTGCTTCTGAAGACGCTGCACCTCGCTGCCGGCCGGCAGGTGAGCCGTGGCCGTCAACCCCAGGGGGCACCTCTGCGCCAGGCCCCTGCCTCAGGGACACCCTGTCCTTCCCACGGGAGAGCCCGTCGTCAGGCTGGCAGAAGGTCTGATGAGCAAAGAGGGGGCCCTTTGGGCCCACCAGGCTCAGTGCCAGGGAGGAGGGGAGCCCGCAGGGAGGGACGGATAGGAGATGGAGTTTAAGGCACACGGCAAGCGACAGAGGAGGGGGCTGCCGGCCCTCCCCGCAACAGAAATGCCCCTCCCCTCTCTCTGGGTTAACTCACCAAGAGCTACTGGCCCCAACTCAGATAAAGTGTGTTTCTTGGATGGTCAAGTCCTTCCTTTCCAGCTGCTGCTTCCCAGCTCCCACGGTGCCAGAGGATGGGGAGGGCCGGTGGGATGGGGCGGAGGAAGTGAAGGGGCGAAAACACGACAGCCACGGCTGCTGCTCGTGACCCAGCAAGGGCGGGCCAGGACCGCGACGCGACGGGAGCACCGGCCCCAGGGCTGCTGAAAGGCCTCCTGCTGTCCCTTCTGGGCCAGGTGAGACGCTCACACCATCCTCCACTTAAGTAGGACGTGGAAAGTGAAGGGAGTCTTCCCCGGGTCTCCTCTGCTTTCTGCCCACCCAACTGAAGGTTACGGGGAGAGCAGCCCCCGCCCCGAGGGCCCTTGGGCCTCTACTCATCTGTCAGTCATCTCAGGAGATTCAGAAGACTCCCACCATTCCTGGGCTGCTGCTGAAGTCCCTGCGCTGCTCCCCAGGCTTGGGGGGAGGGGGAGAGAGGGAGAGCGGAAGACAGAGCAAAAGCAGAAACCCAAAGCAAACCCCAACCCCCAGTTCACACAGCAGCAGTGAGACCGCCCGCTGGCTCCCCCGGGCGGGGGTGG